CAGCCCTCCCCAGGCACGGCTCGTGCTGCAGACTTTGACAGACTTCCCCCCTGTCCCGACGCTGCTTTGCATGAACACACATGGGCTGTTGAAATTTTCACTGCAAGGGACTCAAGGCACAAAGCCCTTGTCCTGCTCCGAGTTCAACTGGCTTTTTACTTTTTAAAGAAAAAAATTGCATAAAAATGTATTTGCACATGAGAGTGCACATATGTAACGTTAGACACATGCACACAATTTGGAGGGCTTCACACGCAGTTATGATTTACACAGCATCTAACTATAACGCCAAAGTAGTTTTCACAGACTCACTTAGGCAAGACACGTTTGAACACATGATGTCCTATACATATCTCCCCCTCCAACTGCTCCCAGCACGCACAGAGAGTAACATTCAGATTTACACATTGCAAATACTCAGAAGTGACAAGACAGCAACCTACAGAGCCTGGCACAAGGGCACTGTTCCCAAAGACGTGGGAGCTTGCCAGCCCCACAGATCCCTAGCCACACACAGAGGTGCCCACACACACTAGGAGTGGTGCGGCTCCGCAGTGATGGACACCCGCTGCCAAGGTCCTAAGGTGAGGACACTGACACAAGTGATGGGGACCCAGTGTCAGGTTTGTCTCCCCAACCTAAAAAAATGCTTGAATGCCCCGAACTTAGGTTGGGTGGCTTTTTCCCCCTCATTACATTGAATTGTGGTAAGTGATGAAGTGATTCCTCACCCACACAGGGTTTCAGAGCCCCTTGTCAGACAGGTGCACACCGCTGGGGTAGCTGCCCGTGGGCAGATGGGCACCCCTTACACCCCTCCTCAGGCAGCAGCATCCCCCCCAGACACCAAACCCAGTACCTCACCTTCTCCCCTGGGCACGATGTGCCTGGGGGGCAGCCGGGACCACGGGTGCCCTGCGCGTGGTCCACTGATGCCCACGCAAAGACCCCCAAAAAGTCCTGTCCCCCCTTAGAGTAGAAAGTGGATCCCCCCACCCATCCCCGCGACCCTCCCCAGGATAGAGGGAACGGGCAGCACCGGGGGCTGGTGCGCGCCTCCACCTCGGGGGCAGGTAACGGGCCGGCGATTAATTTTTTGCTTTAAATTAGGGGAATAAATATTAAAAAAAAAAAAAAAAAAAAAAAAAAAAAAAAGAAAAAAAAAAGACAAAAGACCAGAAATCTATGATCTCCACAGCTGTAACACTGAGCCTGCAGCAAGCCGCCTGGAGTAGTCCTCGCAGCACGGCACAGCGCAGGAACAGACCCTCCCGCTTCAAAGGGAGCATAGAAAATAAGAGGACAAAGATGGAATGAAACACACAAGTAGCTGGAGAGGAGAAGTACTCAGAGAAACAGGAAAACACGCTGTCCTCCTTCCGATTAAAAGGGAGAAAAAAGGACGATGACAGACAATGAAGAGTAAAGGCAAACAG